CCAATGAAGCCGGAAAAACTTGCAAAGTTATCCCCAGAAGATAGACAAGAATATTAGAACTCTTTAAAAATAACAAAAACACCTAGACGTTACGCTTTTAGAAGTAGACCTCACTAAATTTTGTAAAACATTTTGAAGAAATAAATGTATTCTAAAACTGAAATATTGTGCAAATTTTTGCCCGCAAAGCCCGCTCTTTCCGCCCGCGCGAAAAGATCCGTGTACAAATATGTTGTACTTTAATATATGCATGCACCCGCAAAGCCACGCGCGTGATTTTAAGGTATACACCGGCGTTAAAAATAATCCCTATCTATCCATTGCGATACACTTAGTTATGCAAATTCGTATTACCTTAATCCCCTTAATTACCTACACGGCACCTAATAACTTAGCAACACATAACAACGCAGCAAAGTTTAAAACACGTTTCTTAATACAAATAATAGACAAAAAATATTACAACTAAGACTGTTAAATTGTTCTACAGGTTTTTTCCTTCAAGTATTCTATCTGACTCGGTCATCTTGACCGTATATATATATATATATATATATGTATGTAGGTTTGCTAAATAATGTTGAACAACATGCAAATAGCGATCATAACAACGGCTTTGACAACCCGGGATTAGCAACTGCTTATTTCTGTTGCGATATTTTTTATTTCTGTTTGGAAATTTATTGCTCAAAACGAGTCATCAAAATTAAAACGAATTTCAATTGCGTGTTGAAAATAAGAGAGGGACTCACAACGTTGTTACATGGTTGTAAGGCAAAAAATTTTCTACCGTACCGGGTTCGAACCGGTGACCTAAGGAATACTGATTTGGTAATAACTACAGTCCTTTGCTCTACCAACTGAGCTAACGGTAGGTTTTAAAAACTAACTTCTATTTCATACTTTTATACATGCAAACTATGAGAAACCTCTTGTCGTTTTATTACAAATTTGTCAGAAACTAGTTGTGATGCTAATCGATCGCTTGCCACATTTGGCCCAGGCCTGCCCGCGTTAATTGGTCGCGCTACCTGTCACAGTTGGCCCAGGCCTGCCCGCGTTAATTGGTCGCGCTACCTGGCGTCATAGATTTTGCATGCTCATTATAAAATCCGCCAGATTGTTGGCTGAACAAAGTGACGTCATAGACTTTGCATACTAATTACTTCCGACACCTAAGTTTGCATACTAATTACTTCCATTGCTATATGGGGGTCTTTTACTACTCGTGCCTTTTTAAATACCCAAGGGATGACGTCACTTGCCAATGAGATGCATATATTCCTCTGGCAAATAGGCACCGTCATCCCTATTCAAAGCATGATGACTCATATTTACATGCCACGCTTCTACGCAAAGTCTTTGACCATACGACAGAAATCACAGATTTATATCTTATACACTAGATAGTGCATCTAATTATTCTGCAATTCAAAAATTGAAGCCGTGATTGCAGGCTCAGGGTATTCCCATGAAATGAGAAGATTCGTATGTTTTCTATTTCTTAAACAGGGAACTTAAACATTAAGTTAAACCTATTCCAAATACATTTTTAAACTATTCAAATGATGAAAGTTATTGTTGTTTTTAAGCGTTTGTTAGCGAGTGGGAACTACCAACATGGCCGCCATCTATTCAAATGGGGGTAATCGCTGGAATATTCTTGGCTTCAACTTTAGAGAGATGCGCTATCTAGGGTATATAAGATATCTATGGCAGAAATACACAAACTGAAACAGCGAGTTATTGTCGATTTCAAGTCGCTTTTCAACGCGCGGTTCCCAAGTTCGTTGCAAACTTACCAATTACGTTTCCAAGTTCAAAAAATGGGCGTGAACTTCGCAACAAAGTACGCAAGTACATTTCAATGTTTGAACTATTGTAAACAAATGTTCATTGTTGAAGATGAATTTAACAATTCAATGGAAATTTCTTGGTCCAGTGGGCTACCGAGGTTTGTATTTCGTTGAATTGGTTATTATTATTGAGTGTGAGAATTTCAGTTAGAAACGAAGTTCAAACATTGAAATGAACTTGCGAACTTTGTTGCGAAGTTCACGCCTAATTTCCGAACTTGGAAACGTAATTGGCAAGTTCGCAACGAACTTGGGAACCGCGCGTTGAAAAACGACTTGAAATCGACAGTAAATTTAAACCCAGGGTTAGCACTAATTCAGTTTTAAACAACTGGCTCCAGCGTGTTTTTAGACTGTAAAAGGCAATATGTTATAGAAATCATATTTCTAAAGAACGACTCGTACACAATGATCATTTTTATTTCGATTCATATTAAGTAGATAGTGAATTTTAAAAGTTGTAAAATTAGTTACGTTTCACATTCTTGAATGTTCTGCAGTCTATAATATTAGATATGTTTAAAGTTCACTAGATTTGTGACTCGCTCAAGTTTGAGCGCTAACTATCATCAACTCTCATTAGCTTCAACGGCAAGTTCAAATTAATTTTGCCGCAACTGAACAGAAATAAGCGAACGTAAAGGGAAATAGCAATACGTTTCATCCGTTTGAAAGAGTGATCCAACAATTTCAAAATCTTACCACAGATTTTTTTTATCGTTTTTGGTATAAAATATATTGCATTTCATTTCATTTCAAACAAAATACTTATGCATTCCGTCATCTTGGATATGCATATCCACGTCGGATATGCGTGACGTCACAACCGGGGTAACATTATTTTGTATCTCAGGTCATTTCAATGCTAATTGCTATATTTAAATACCGTCTATTGTAAATTAAACTTCAAGCCATAGACAGATCAGGATATGATGGTCTGTAAGCGTGGCAAACTTCAAAGCCACAAAATAGAAGACCTTTGTTTGATGTTGAACTATACCTCACCATGCACAAATCCTTTGTCTCAACTTCATTAAATATTATTCATCCTGGTTGCTCGTTTCATCTCAACTATCCCAATTGGATGGTTACTTCATTATACGAAAATACAATGAGCTCAATCACCGTGACCATGCACAAATTAACATAAACTCCGACAAAAACATCAAACAATGACCTATGTACAGGGTGTCCCAAAAGCTACGAAAACTATTGAAATCACCAATAACAATTTAATTGTTAGAATTTGAATGCCTTAGCGCTCTGTTGGTTCCCACGAGTGCATAAATGATTGACATAAGTAAATTTTATGCATAAAGAAACTGTTTAAGAAGCTGCTTTAAATTCCCAGGAGCAGAAACTCGCGCACTTTACAAGGAGATGTTCTTAACTAAATTTTAATACATGCACCTTGTCAATATTTTACGCATCATTACGTTCAGCTTTTTGGTAGGGCATTCAATTTTAACAATAAGTGATTTCAACAGTTTTCGTTTTTTTTGGGACACCTTGTATAGTTGCCAGACCATCATACCTTGATAGATTATGTTCAAGCCATAGATATCTTATATACAATTCTGCAATTCAAAAATTGAAGCCGTGATTGCACATTCAGGCTCAGGATATTCCCATGAAATGAGAAGATACGTATGTTTTCTATTTTTTAAGCAAGGAACTTAAACATTAAGTTAAACCTATTCCAAATACATTTTTAAACTATTCAAATGATGAAAGTTATTGTCGTTTTTAAGCGTTTATTAGCGAGTGGGAACTACCAACATGGCCGCCATCTATTCAAATGGGGGTAACCGCTGGAATATTCTTGGCTTCAATTTTACTAAAAGAGATGCGTTATCTAGTGTATATAAGGTATCTATGGTTCAAGCTATGTATAAGCATTCCACTGATATTATTTTTAGTTTAAAAATGTCTACCCTGATTGTGACATCATTTAATTAAATCTACGATGGCGGATACCAGAATGTTTTGGTTTCAAATAACTCAAAAATTAAGGTCGTTTGGGAATATTTGAAAAAAGAATTTGTAAATAATCTCAACGTTCTTTCAAATGAGAACTGTTGTCATTTTCCTTTAAAGAATGTTTAATCTAGTACATAACAGTGACCTAAACTCCATAGATTCGACTACATTGAACAAGGGAAAAACAAATTTAAACTGCTCTCAAGCTTAAGACGTTCGAGCTTGTCGTAACCTCACGTCTCTGTTCTATATTATACATTGAACATTTCTTAATTTGTTACATGAAGTTTGACAGAAGTTAAAAGGAACAAGGTTTAATCTAAAATAGAATTATTTACATTGATAAAAGATGCATTTGATCATTATTTGCCTCTGAATACAACTTATATTTCTCTTAATTAAACAACTCGTTAGTAGCCATTTCTCAATCGAGCAGAGGACTGGGTCTAGTTGATATTTGGAGGGAAAACAAGTTATAGTGAGCGAGCTAAGTATATATATATATATATATATATATATATATATATATATATATATATATATATATATATATATATATATATATATATATACAAAAGATGAAAATGATATATATATATATATAAAAGATGAAAATGTTCTAGAGTGCATGTATTATATAATACACACTCTAGAACATTTTCATCTTAACATGTTACTGAGTGTACAATTACACAATTAATATATATATATATATATATATATATATATATATATATATATATATATATATATATATATATATATATATATATATATATATATATATATATATATATATTTGTCCCTCCAAACAAGCGACTAGTCCTCTGCTCACTGGGAAATGGCTAATAGGTCCTTCCAAGGCATAATGTTCCATGGTATTTTCCGCCATCTTGAATCTATTACTTTCACAATTGTGTTTCCACCTAGAGCTGCTCCCGATTAATCGATCAATCGATTAATCGATTATTTTTCCACAATCGATTATACTTAACAGTAATCGGATAATCTATAACACCACACAGCGTGATGCGGGAATGAGTTAATTTCTTTCCAGATTAAAAAAATTGCGACAAGGATTGTGATTGAAACATGAAATTACAAGTTGATTCAAAACATTGTGGGTCAAATACTGATCAAATTCACTCGTAGCGTGCAAAGTTTACCATAGTCTGATTGGGTTACCAGTGCAGCGAAAATATCTTTAAAGTTTATTAGAATAATTTATAACCATTTGCGTCCAACATTGCGGTGTGCAGATACAAACCAATTTATTATCCATAAGAGTCTCTTAAATTTGCTTAGGATTGTCAAAGGTAAACAACCAAAGTAAACATCCTTAATATCCTTTCTTCATGTCCTTTCACGCATGTCTCTTATGTGTAAGAGCGCGAGAACGTGTAAACGCAGATTTAAAATGTTTATACTGACTGGTGAAACCAAAAAAAATTTAGTAAAGTGTATTACAATTTAGAAACCTGTCAAACCACCAGGGCTTTTCATATTTAAATTAATTATCAATACGATTAATCGATATTAATCGATTGTTGACAACGATTAATCGATTACGAAAATTAACCGATGGGAGCA